GCCTCATTGCTGCAGCTTTCTTGCATAAATCGAACAATTCTGCTTTTTTCTTTCCTTTTCCGCCTTCACTTGACTGAATGCCTCACTCCCATATCCTCCCTCATTTTTACCACAACATCACTTATTCTAAGTGCGTGATACGGGGTTATGCGTTGTCGGGCGGCACTTTTTTCACAAAGTACTGTCGGAAATGAGACTAAAGAATCAGCTATGTTCCGAAACTTCACGTTTTATTTTATAAAATCAACCTAATCACTAATTATTCAGCGTTAATTGATTTCCGGTTGACTTTTTGCGATAAGTGACAGATGATTGAACAATAGGATCATATTATATATTTAAAATGAGAGAGACCAGAGCATGGGACAGAGAACGGAGAGAGAGAGAGGCTCTCTCTCTCTCCGTTCTCTGTCCCACGCTCTGGTCTCTCTCATTTTAAATATATAATATGATCCTATTGTTCAATCATCTGTCACTTATCGCAAAAAGTCAACCGGAAATCAATTAACGCTGAATAATCTCTCACACACTCCCCTGTTTTTTCAACGGAGAAAAAACACTAGAATGGCGCACTCGATGAAATTTGAAATACAATGAACGAAACAGAAAGTTAGTCCAGTATATCAGTTCAGTGTTCCTAAATATCTCTAATCAGCATCAATGTTCGCATCTTGAATGCGATAACGAGCGGCTACCGCTGCATCCCTCCTGGGCCTGAATGTCGGAGCTAAGGGGTTGAGCTGTAGAGGAGCCTGTAGATTCTCCCGATCGCAGGACAGCTCCAGTGGGTAAAGGTGTTGTACCGCCCGTTCAAGTGTTCCTTTCCCCGCTCGAAGTTTGGCAGCTCGAACGATTCCGTCTCGTCCCGAAATCAGATCTTCCACGATTCCAATTTTCCATTTATTGCGATTTCGTTCCTCGTCCTTGATGATGACTACCTCTCCTTTGGCCAAGGGCGTGGTTTGACCCTTGTGTTTCATCCGGTGTCGTTCTCTCAACCCTCGTAAATATTCGGTAGTCCACCTGGTCCACAAAGCCTGCTTGCACCTTCGCAAATATTTAGCTCTTCTACGCAGATCAAATTCTCTTAGATGGTGTGGTTCCAGTTCTGGTAGCTGGTTTGATCGAAGAAATAGCAGTGAGTTAGGGGTAAGCACGGGTAACTGTATGTCGTCTTCGACGTAACATAAAGGGCGATTATTCAAAGCAATCTCCACATCCAGTACCACTTCACACAGCTCTGTCCAGGTCAACATTCCGCATCCGATAGTCTTGTTTAAAGCTGTTTTTACCAGTGCGATGAGGCGCTCGAACTGTCCTCCCCACCAAGCGGCGCGGCTGAGGTTGAATTGCCACTTGATGTTCTCATGTGCTAAGTAATCTTGTGTCTTCTCGTCACGCATAACTTGTTTTAGCTACTTCTCGGCGCCAACAAAGGTTTTGCCATTGTCGGAATATATCTTCTTCGGACGCCCACGGCGCGCGATGAGCCGTTTTAGACTTCTTAGGAATTCACTGGTTGCCAGGTTTGGTAGTACTTCCAGGAATAATCCTCGGGTAAGACTGCACGCGTACAATGCAAGATAGGCCTTTCCTTCTGTTTTGGCTTTGATACGGTACTTGATGGGCCCTGCAAAATCGACTCCGATAACCTCAAATGGGGTGCTCCCCTCTGTGCGGTCAGTGGATAGGAGTCCGGGAGGCGGCGTTGCCAGTGCCATGGCCTGAAAACGCTTGCAGCCTGAACACGCTCTGAGAACTTGTTTTACGAGTGCCCTTAAACGCGGTACCCAGTATAGCTCTCGCACTTTGGTCATGGTAAGGGTCACTCCTCCGTGCAGTGTGTCGACATGTCTAACTGGCGAGTGAAGGGCGAGGAGTCTGGCAGAAAGATGGGGTAATGGCCTTGAATTCTTCCCCTACACTCTAATATTCCCTCTTGGTTTCCTTGCACATTCAACTGTAAACGGTCTTCTTCAAATTTCTGGCTCGACTTTGGTTGTTGTTGAGATCGCTTGATCCAGAACGTTGTCTGTTTCTGTATTTCTTCAGTTGTAAGGGGACCAACGATTCTCTGTTTACGGACGGTTCTTATGTTGTGGAGGAATCTCCAGATCCAAGCACCCACTCGCAACACACGCCACAGCTCGTACTTCTCCAGCAGCGCATCGAAGGCGTCGTTGTTCTCTGTTTTCTCTACTGCTAGAGCAAACAACTCGCGAGTTTATTTCACATCTTCCGCATTTGATTCTTGAGTAGATGTCGTTACAAGGTCTGGCGGTCAGTCCTGCGGTTTTGCTAACCAGTTTGGTCCCTGCCACCAAAGAGCTGTCAATCTACTAGCATCTCCTCCCCACGTCCGCTGGATTCTCCTCTGTTGGTACATGCCTCCAGTTTATTTCTTTTTCCTGGATCTTCCTCACTCGATTTCCCACGAACTGTTTGTATTCGCCATTACCACGGATCCAGTGCAGTGCGACTGTGCTATCCAGCCAACCATAGACACTTCTTATGGGAAAACCC